AACGGTAATAGAAATGGTCCACCTTTCTTCAGAAATATGCGAAATGTTTTCAAGAAAACTTAGAAAGTAACCTATAGGATTTCCACTGGAAGAGTGTTCTACTTCTCTTCTACTTTAATGTGAATGGAAGAAGCGGAAAAGCCCTTTTTCTTGTCTTTAGGGTGTATTACGTATTCTGTGACCCTAGAACCATTTCAATGAGCCATATTCAGTTGTCTTCACAATGCTTATCGCTACTACTCTGCTCGCCATCGTCGGAACAGTGCAGTGTTACCCTTATGGGGACTACTCGAGCTCACAGGAAGGTACTGTATTTTATCTCACCCAAGTATCGGAATATTCGATCAATGCTGGATGCCTCAGGGTTAATGAATTGTCTACGAACCAGTTGGCGCCGCACGCGTTGCGTGCACATTACAGTTCTGCGATTCCTTCCCTTCGCCGGTCTCAATCCATTTTCCCCGGTTTCTATAACTTCATGGAACCGCTCTGTAAGTCTGGCAACAAACTCTGCCCACTTTGGTTCGTGCTCCGCCCACTAATGACTTCCTTCCATTGGCCAACCTCTGTCCACTTTTTCCCGGTCTCCAGGACTTCTTTGAACCGAGTTATAATGTTTTGTGGCAAATCCGCCCACTTTACGCATGCCCGCCCGCCAACAGCAGTTGACCCTTTTCTCTCCGCCAACCCCTATCCACTTTTTTCCTAGTCCGTAGTATATGAACCGAGTTATAAGCCTGGTTGCAAACTCCGCCCACTTTGGTGTAAGCCACGCCCAGCCTTGACATTTAGCTTCCCTCCTCTCCTAACCTCTATCCACTGTTTTCCGGTCTCTAAGTCATCTCGGAGCCGATTTATGAGCTCTTGTAGGAAACGTCGTCTACTTCAGGAGCACGCTCCGCCCATTGTGGGCGGGCCTCCGCCACTTCATGTATGCGGAACACCTTAGACATTGCTCCCTTACACCGAAATTGTTTTCTGCTCTGTAGGCTTTCTCCCAACCGAGTTATGAAATTTTTCATAAAGCACTGCTTTTTTAGAGAACGCCCCGCCCACCGGGGGTGGGTCTCCCTAATTCGATGTGACTTACCAATGCACACCTTTACCCACTTTTTCCCCAGTTTCGAGGTCGTTTTGTCACTGAATTTGAAATCTTGGTCTCAGTACCGCTCATTTCGATGGACGCCACGCCCACTGTGGGCGGAAGGATTACTATAAGGTTGAGTACTAAGCAGAGTCCTCCCTATCGTTGTTACTTTTTGAAAAATTTTTACGACCCCCCTCCCCCAAGGTGGACTTGCACGCGCTGAAACGGCGAATTTTCTCCCGCGCGCTCCCAACTCCCAACCTATACGACCCCCCCCCCTCCTACAAACTCAACCAGGTACGACCCCCCGTTGTTACTAGTAACAACGTAGGGTTGACCCTGGTACTAGGTATGTCTGGTTCTAGGACCGATATTCAAAATTATACAACTTTCTTTGCAAGCAACTTTATTAAGTGCAATATTTACCACAACTTTCTACAACTGTACTCCATCGATTGGTCAGTGAGTGGATTCCTTTCTGCCAGAACTCTGCTGTCTTCGAGGCGAAGAATGACTGAAGGTCCATTTCGAGGTGCTCGCGATCATCGTATCTCTTGTCCTCCAGGAAGTGAGCAAGCGAGCGGAACAAGTGGTAATCGGTTGGTGCGAGGTCGGGAGAATACGGTGGGTGAGGGAGAACTGTGAAGCCAAGTTCCTGAATTGTCCTCTGAGTTTCCTTTGCGGTGGTGTTGTCATCCAGAAGTTCGTAGTGATGCAGTACACTAAATAGGTGTCGTACACTCCACCAAACGCAGAGCATGACCTTCCTCGGGTGGAGCTCACCTTTTGGGACTGGCATCGGCTGTTGATCTGCGTCCACCCACTGGCGCCTCCGTGTATGGTTTACGTAGACCACCCACTTCTCATCCCCAGTGACGATGTTGTCGAGCCAGTCGAAACGGCGACTTCTGGACAGCAAACTTTGACAGATGTTCACACGTGTCCGCAGCGCAGCCTCACTCAGTTCGTGTGGATCCATCTCCCCAGCTTGTACAATTTCCCCATAGCTTGGAGGCAATGGCTCATGGCGGTCTGAGAGCACTGCATGTCTGCTGCAAGTTGACGGGTAGTAGCGTTTGGATTGCTTTGTAAAAGTTCCTCGATCCGATCAAAATCCACAGTCACTGGGCGTCCCGAACGTGGTTGGTCTTCAAGGCTGTAATCGCCTTCACGGAACTTCTGGAACTAACGTCTACAGACCCTTTCGTTTACCGCGTCACATACCTTCTGCGTCACATGTTGCGACAAGCTTCGCCTGCTGAGTGTCCCAGACGGAACTCGTAAAGAAGGCAGTGTCGAACATGAGTCGAAGTGTACGGCATTATTGCTCCCCAGAGACGAGTAAGGGAGGTCAAATTTTGTGGTATAAAAGTATGCTGAGGTCCCTCCATAACACTTTGGCGGGAACAACAGAAACATCTTTTTTGAAAAATTTGGCGCTATTTAAAAAAAGCAGACATTACTTTGTATTAAACCTAACCTTCTATGAAGCAGAACAATACTGTGCGCTTTTGAAGGCTGCCCCGGGATAAAAGTGGACATTCAATAATGGAGTTTGAGGTAGGGAATCATCTGGAAAAGAAAACGAAAGCAAGTGAAGCCGTCGACTATACCCCGAACAAGACCCCCTCCCACTTTCTTCCAGCAGCGGTCCACTACAGAATGTGAAAGAGTGTGTTTGGACGATCTTTCTCATTTCCTGCCTGTGTGTCTAATTGCGGGATTGCCTTCAAAGGAGGATTCCAAGATGAGGTCGCCGGTCGAAGAAGGGAAAGTACATTTGAAAGAAAAAGTTCAGTTCTGAAAGACAGGCGAGCCCAATAACAATGCGAGTTTCGCACCTCAGTGGCCCTAGCAGGTTCATACCGCGCCGCCCGCACACCGCTGGACGCCCACCCTTCCCGTCTGACGAGCTGCTTTCTGGTGTTTTTTTTCTAGAGAGAGAACCTTAGCGTTCGATGAGACATGCCTGACGCGCAAGTCAGCGACCAAAAAGGGGTTCCATTTCTCAAGCTCCAGGATGTTTAACCTGGTTTTCCCTCATTCCTACGGCACGGGCCACTTCTGGCTTATTTTTCAAGGGGTGTCTTTACATTATGAACTCGGCCTTTGAACGGAAAACCAACACGTCTCTGCTTGTGAAGCAGACATGGCGCCAACAGAGTTACCAGGTCCGAGAAAGTAGACCTACAGTACTCCAGGGATCCACTTCTTCTAATACGAAAACGTAATTAAATGTGTCTTTGATCGAGTGGCTCTTTCTGAGAATAGTGCTGCAGAAGGACTGTCGTGGTTCGGGAGCGGTTGCCCTCCTAACCCAACACGACGCATCGAGGTGGTTCGGGGCCCCCGTGGCCTTTCCCAGGCACACGTCGTTCTACGGGTCCTTCCCGGGGACCATGCGGTTTCCCGCACGCATGACCTCCGCACCCCGGGGCCTTACAGGGTTCCTAACCCAGGAACGGGGGGTTACAGGGCCATGCCCCGCGGTAACAACCCCTTGATGCTTGCAGCACATGATGACCTATTGCGCCTTAACCGGGCCCCAGCCCTGGCGCTCCCCCAAGCTTACCCGTGCTGCTATACTTGTACACAACACTACACATCTTGGACTCATAGTTTATTGGCGATAACGTCCTTACGCACTACAACTTAACTTCCTGCCGAGCGTGGAGAAGCCCGGCCAACGCTTGTAGTGTCTGCAGCCATTAGCGGTAACAGCGGTAACAACGGCCTGCAGCCGATAGTGTCCCTCGGGTGTAGCGGGACACTAACTTACCAGCGCTCCGAGCGAACGGGACAGCATGCCCGAACATGCTGACGGGTGCTAGCAGGCACCCCTAGCCGTTCGCCTTCCTCGCGTTGCCCGACGACCGTCTCTCCCGGAGGAGACGAAGAGCGCCGACTGGCAGAGGCGACCTCTTCATATGGGTACCCCCCAGGAGGCCCGTCGCGCGGCAAGAAGGCAAAGTCAGCGGACGAGTCGCGCGCGTACTATAGGGATTTCGCGTCAAGTTAAATAGAGTGTCCCATTGCACGTCCTACATCGCACACCACGCGCTGCAACTCGTCCGCCGACTCTGCCTTCTTGCCGCGCGACGGGCCTCCTGGGGGTACCCCTTCGAGAAGAAGGAAGATATATAAGCGCCTTCGGCTGGAGGCGTGCCCGGAGGCGACCAACATACCCCGCTCGCCCGGTGCATCGCGCCGCCATCGCGGACGTACGTAAGCAAACCAGCCCTTTTGGCACATCGGCTGGGACCGTATGCTGAATGTTGGGGAGGGGATGGGGTCCCCAACGGTCGACGGTTTACTTCAACTCGGTTGGTACGATAGGAGAGTACTGACGCAAGTGGTGCAGCTGGTCCAGTAGCTTCGCCAGAAGGACCGGTCTGCTCACCCTTGGACTAAGCCTAGGAGAGGGGACGGACCCGTCCTCTCTTTAAGGCTTAGTTCTAAGGTAAGCGCCAAATTGTGGCGGTTCTAAGGACCGCGTTGAAGTTGTCCGTCCACCGTCGGGGACACCATCCCCTCCCCAACATTCAGCATACGGTCCCAGCCGATGTGCCAAAAGGGCTGGTTTGCTTACGTCCTCGCGACCAGGTTGCGCCTCGAAGACTGGCCTCGTCCGGATCGCCAAGAGCCGTCGTCGCGAACCGCGACAAGGACCACTGAGTCGGTTTGAAAGGACGCAGACTGGTTGGAGGGCGCTATGACACCTATTTAGTACAATTGCCTTTTTCTTCGCTGATTATTGAACTCCTTGTCCACAGAACATAATTTATACCTCGAAGTTTCGATCCGTGCGTTCATAGAAAGCGCGAATAAGAAAATGGTCTATTGAGTAAGACTTGCTCAACTCGAGTAAGAAGCGAAGATGTGAATGAACTAATTCAGACTTGCGAACACTTTCATGTTAGGGTTGAGTGAAGTCGGTGCTGCACCTGAGGAGCGCCTATCCGGACAGGTCCCACTTTTAGGAAGAGGTAAGCTTGAGACGCCTTGAACTGTGAACTATTGAGCAAACATTTTCGCATCTAGGCTCGGATGAAGTCGGTGCTGCACCTGAGAAGCGTCGATCCGGGCAGGTCCCACCTCAAGAAGCGCAATTCCGGACAGGTACGCTCTACTGGAAAAGTAGGCATTGAGCGCACTGTCAAAAAAAAAAACGATAATGATTTATGAAGTGCCCAGCTGTTTTACGACGAAGCTAACATCCGATTTTACACCTGACGATGGTCGGAACTGTTTACGGGCCTTCGGAAAACGGTAAGGCGAATGCTGCAATAAGACACGAAGACAAAAATCACTCTTTTCGACATTTTGAAATAGTGGTACCCCTTATATCCGAGGCCGGTAATCACCTGTATCACCTGTCGTCCCGTTGATCGTCGATTTGCTCGAGCGGGCGCCAGCAACGTCTCCATTCGTCCCTGTCGCGTGCTAGAGTGGTCCAGTGGATCCTCCTCGCTCGAGGGACACGAAGTTCATCATTCCTTTCGTTCAGAGCTTTCGTGAAGAAGTCTGACCATCGGGCCGGCGGTCGTCCAGGGGGGGGGGGGGGGGGGGGGGGGGGGGGGGGGGGGGGGGGGGGGGGGGGGGGGGGGGGGGGGGGGGGGGGGGGGGGGGGGGGGGGGGGGGGGGGGGGGGGGGGGGGGGGGGGTGGGGAGGGGCGCGGCGTCCCTGATCTTCGATCGTTGGCGTAGTTCGGCACTCCGGATTCCCCTCTGCACTTGCGTGTATAGGGTTACTCCTAGCATCGTCCTCTCGACAGCGCGTTGGATAACCGCATGCTCGTCCTGCCTGCGCAGAGTCCAAGTCTCTGAGGCGTAGGTTAGGGCAGGAAGGACAGCGGAATCGAAGAGGTGGGCACGGAGCCGGATGTTCTTCGTCTTCTTCACTACTCCCTCGATGTTCTTGTACGCTCCCCAAGCCGCTCGTTTCCTCCTGCTCAGCTCTGGAGCTAGATCGTTCATCATATTGATTTCCCGACCTAGGTACACGTAGCTGGAGCATTCGGTGATGTTCGTTCCGTTGAGCGTGAATGGGGCATCAGGAACCAATCCGTTTCTCATAAACATCGTCTTCGTTAGGTTCAGCTGCAGACCAACCTTACCACAGGCGCAGTCGAAATCAGCCAGCATTCGCTCCGCTTGCTCGATGTTCGGCGTTATAAGAACGATGTCGTCAGCAAAACGAAAGGTGGTGTAGTTGCCGGCCGTCGACCTTCACTCCCATGTCTTCCCATTCCAGTTGACGCATGACGTTCTCGAGAGCGGCGCTGAAGAGTTTGGGCGAGATGGTGTCGCCCTGTCGAACCCCTCTCTTGACGTCGATGATGACCTCCTTGTAGAATGGTGAGATTCTGGTCGTAAAGTTGCTGTAGAGCTCACGAAGAATCTTGATGTACTGAGTAGGGACGCCCTGGTTGCCCAAGGCTTCGATGACCGCTTCCGTATAATGTGTGGGTGGTCCAGTGGTACCTCAAACTTGGGTAATTAAACGTTTATACAACATATTAATCAACAAACAATCAACAAGTAATGTGAGATCAATGAGAGAGATGTTAGGAGTGAGATGGAGGCAGAAACTGGCGAGAAAAGGCAACTGGTGGGGCTCCTTGGTGCGGGCTCCTTATATAGCGCCAGATTCCCGCGCGATCAGGGTGGCCTCGACGTTGACCACCCAATCCGATATGTCGATTGGACCGCCACCAAAGAATAGCCTGAAGATAAATCGATTTGATAGAGGAACCTCTATACATAAAGACCGGTCATACATCCCCCAAGAAAAATAGTAAGGGTGAATGACTGAATGGAACCACGCATAACGTGAAGAAACTAATTTTGGATTTCACTTCGTCTATTTAGAAATGAGCAGCGGCACCTCTGTACCTCTCGAGGAACTCCCAGGTATGGTGAGGGCAAGATCCAGTGAGCTGAAGTGAAGGAGCGTAACAAAATATAAGGGAATTCTGAGTCTATTTTCAGGAACGAGCAACGGCACACCTGCACTTGCCGAAGGACTCCCAGAAAATGGTAGGCATCCATGAAGACAGGGGGAAAGGGGAAGAAATGAGAAGCGGCGGAATTGTGAAGTAATTGGTTTTGGAAATCCTGTTATTACGCATCTGTCTGTTAAGAAGCAAGCAGCGGTAATCCTGCTTCTGCCAAGGGCGAAGTGAAACTACTGGGTGATATTCCAGTCGTAGCAGTGGTGGTCTTGCTCCCAAAGGAAATTCCCAGTCTTCAGGTAAAGACTCCATGAATCTGCAGCTGATTGTTACTTGTAGTGTTGGCTGTTCATCCTACTTACTTTACGTTACCCCATTTCAGGCACTGATCAAGCAGCAATCGGGTGGACTCCAATATCTTAACAAGCACAATACCATGACATTCTGAGTAATAAAATTTCCTAATGCTGACAACAGATTTTTTATGAATTTAGGTGATCTATTTACTTTGAATAGTGTTTATTCGGTTGTTTTTATAAGGACCTCTGCCGCAAGAGAATAATGTAATAGCACTTCAAATGCATAACCCAGGCTGAAATCGTGCGTACGATTCTCTTCGATCAATAGGATCTACCTTTAGAGGACAATCTCAGAGATGCCATTCCCGCGCGCGAAAATCACCCAAAAAGAAGCGCTAGGGCCTTCAGGAGGTAAGCAAACCAGCCCTTTTGGCGTTTCGGCTGGGACCGTATGCTGAATGTTGGGGAGGGGATGGGGTCCCCAACGGTCGACGGTTTACTTCAACTCGGTTGGTACGATAGGAGAGTACTGACGCAAGTGGTGTGCAGCTGGTCCAGCAGCTCCGCCAGAAGGGCTGGTTTGCTCACCCCAGGACTAAGCCTTGGAGAGGGACGGACCCGTCCTCTCTTTAAGGCTTAGTTCTGAGAGCTAGTAAAAGCGCAAGTAGGTCGTGATCTCGCTGGACTCGAACATCAGCAGACCTGGCGTGAAAAATCTCTATCTGGCTTCATGAGGCAATCGCCAGACAAACAGTGTCTCCGACCATGGACTGAGTGGTCTTCGCCCCGCCTGAAACTTGTATGGGCCAACTGTGGCTGGCATCAAATGAAAGTAATGTAGTCAAGAGGTCGTTTGGAGGGCCATGTTTGCTTCTCCTGTGAGGCCCAGAACATCATACTCCTACATTTCTTCCGCGCAAGATTGAGTTGCACTCACTGTTCAGTGGAATACAGGCTGGAAGGTCATGCGTGGGCAGAAGTATAATATTGGGTTGGAGCATAATATCGTAGCGTTTTTCTTTTCGAGCTACGAATTCAGTGAATACAAGTATTACCCAGGAAATCACATATATCATTTGAAAGTACTTCTTCTGCTCTACAATACCATGTTTGGCATTTTCTTCTATACTGTAAGTGTACTCAGATATGGCGCTAGAAGTTGGAGAATCAAGGTGGGCGAATCTATCTAGAGAAAAAGCTGCCAAAATAGGAGTTTTTCGGAATCCATCGTCATCATCGAACCTTACTCCGGTCGTCCCTTAATTTCAAATCATATTCACGTCGTACAATTTGAGAATAATGAGGATTCTAAAAACGGGCTCAGTACCCTTTTTTGATTTCTAAACCCGGTAATTTCTTGCGAAATGGAACCAAAGTCGTAAATAATGATGAGAAGAACATCACTGATCAGTTTCATGCTTGGCTTTGCTTTTTGGGTTTTGCTTTAAACGTTTTTGCCGAAAGCGAGCGCTACGATATTATGCTCCGACCAGCAGTAAAAGCGCAAGGCGCCAGTTCGATTACGCACGACCTCCTAGGAAAAAAAACAAAAAGATGCCCGGATCAAATCCAGCCCAAGCTGTTCACGGCTCCCTTCATCGGAGCCGCCATACTTACTTGGTAGGTTAAAAATGTAGGCCAAATCGCCAATCAAATGTTATTAATTTCATGAATGGAAGTAGAATGCGTAGCGCAATCCAGAAAGAAGATTGATCGATGCCGAATGTTCCATGCCCTTATCATTGAAAGATGAGCGAATGTGTGCAAATTCTCTCGAACTGGAATCTCAGCATTTTCACGCAAGATAGCAGATGATTATTTTTGTTCTCTAACGATAAGATTGATCGCATAAAAGAGTAGTACGGACCAGGGTCAACCTACGTTGTTACGAGTAACAACGGGGGGGGTCGTACCCACTTTAGTCGCTCGAAATCATATGTGGGATTGAGGTGAAATTAAAGAGTTAGTGGCCCCCCCCTCCCGCTCGACGGCATTTTTGGAGGAAAAAGTGGGCGGGGTTTTGATGGAAGATGGAGATGGTGGAGGTAGGGAAAAGGGGGTCGTATCAAATCCACGTTGGGGGAGGGGGGTCGTAAAAATTTTTCGAAAAGTAACAACGATAGGACAGACCCTGGTCGGACTTCATCAAAATTTATGAAAAGGTTATTCATACATAGCGCGGTAGGCCAACCGTTTCGAACAAGTGAAACCCAAGTGAAACTGTAGTTGTGGGTATGGGGGTATCCTTGGGCGATGCGCCCGCTGTCTATGCACCGCGCCATCCGCATGGCACATCCCCGAGAAATATTATCCGTTCGATCAATATGCTTCGTGATCAGGATAGAACTATTCAAAAAAGTCTTTGAAAGGGGTCGTGAAGGGACAGTGCGCACACACGCAGTGAATTTTGTTGCTTTCGACTTCGCTTTTGAGTCTCGCTGTTTCTTGAGGTATAAGATTATTGGAGGAGACCATTGTTCAAGATAACTTTTGCACCATAACTTTTCGAAACGATTAGTCAGTTACTGTAAACCATGTTCGACCTGGTCAAGGACCTACCACAAGTTTCCTAGGTTTGAGACACCGGCGCAATGTTTTCCGCCGAGGAGGGGGGCAGCCCATAACGTTGCGTCAGATTCACGGAAGCGTTCAGTTTTAGGACTAAGCCTCAGAGGAAAAGAGTGATTCGGAGGTATGGTAACCAGTTCTTATTATGTCCAGAATTCGTCCCTCTCCGCGGAGCTTAGCCCTTGTGGCCCTCCTACAGACTCCCCTCCCTTCCCCTCCTCCCATCTTATAAGAAGCACAAGCCCCGAGACACCTTTACCCACCGCGCTACACACGCCTCACGCGCCTTCCCTGAAAATCTCTGACAGATAGATGTCCACAATGTTCGGCTGGTTCGGTTGAACGATTTCGCGCTCCACTGCCATTGCCGTACTGCGGGCGCGCGCACTCCGCGCAAATCCATTCTCTCCATTACCGCTTTGAATTATTCATTTTTCCGAGAAGGTTTGTGGCTCGAATTGGTCGTGTGGGCAGTATTCCTGAAGTCTGTCGTTGGAATTTCCGTTGCGTTGTAACTACACCGCTTCTTTGACCTCACGACGGGTCAGCGGTTCGCGTTTTTCTCCACTGTAACGTAATCAGTCAGCTGTTGACGTCATGATCGCGTTTCAAATAACGGAAATACTTCTTTTATCAGATGGAAATTGAAATGTAATGTTTCTCGATGGTTCGTGGTCGTGGAATTGTGTTTTGCACTTTTGCGAAAGGTTATGCTATCAGTTTTGATAGCGGTGAAGTTTCTTCATTTGTCCTTATCTTCTTCCCTTAATCGATTTCATTGCTTCAATTTTTGGACACCATTTGATCCTATTCATATTTTCTTAGGATTTCATCAATTCTTTGTATTTCGAAACTATACAATGACCTAAACTACCTTGAGCGCTCCATTCTCTGGCTATAGTTCACTTCTGTTGATTTCTTTGTTTTTCCCTATTTCCAATTTTTGTCATTCTCTTCACTTTCCTCAATCACTGATTAACTATTCACATCGCTTTACCTAACCATTCATTGCAATGACAGGGGAAATTCAATCGAAACTCGACGAGAAATCGAATCGAAAACTTTTTTCCGGCTGTCTCTTCGCATATGTTGACCGTTTTCAAACAGTTCCCGTTGGTTTATTCTTTGTTGGATCGATAATTGTCGTCGGTTATGTTCATTTCAATCCATTTCATTCCTGTTGATCTTTTCGATAAAAACAGCACTTCGCCCTCTTACTGATTTTCGGGTCTATTCCAGTTAGGGGGCATCATGATGCAGTTTTTCCAGAAAGCTAGGGTAACTCCGAGCCAGGGGAGTGTAGCCAGTCTAGGGGGGGGGTGAGGGCAGTCACTTGACATGCGTGAAAAGCTGGAATGTTCGAGTTCACACTAGTTCGCCGAGAAACTGCATCATGATGCCCCCTAACTGGAATAGACCCTGATTTTCTTTTGACCCGATGAGCCTGCGCAATTGATCTTCGCCCCAGTTAAACTTGGGATACCTCCACGAGTAACTGGCTCCATTATTCTTTCCCTCGCCCTGTTGCGAAACTCCACCCTCGATATGCGACCACAAACCTTTACACGTTTGACCCTGGCAGCAGGGGTCGAGCAAGCGTTTGAAAACCATTTTTTGTTACTCTGATTCGAGATCACTACGTAAAACCCGTACTTTTGCAGAATTATTGAGTTTCACCTGTTTCATATTCGGTAATCGAAATTATGAAGTTTTTCAATTCATCGCGTCGTTCACGTCTGAAACCATTTGTTCTTTGTACATGCCCTTTTCTTGCGGAACGGGCCCTTACGCGCAAGTTTCACATTTGTTTGCTGTATCGATTTACCTTCTCATTCTTCTCGATTCCTTTTTCCTAAGTTCATCGCCTTTCATCTCGCATTCACCACCGTCTTGGACCCAGTTTTTCACCCAGTACCTTCCATGTCGAACACTAGACTTTCATCTATTCCTTTTTAGAAAGATAAAATTTGTTAGGTTGCTAAAGGCATATTATGTTATAAAAAAACATCAAGAAAATAAGGATTATAAATTTTCGTTTCGCAATCTTCTATGGCTTAAATGTGTCCTGTGTCCATTGATAGGCGGAGGAATTGAAGATACAATTTCTTTTGACATAGTTTCATACTAGAAAGTAGAAATAGATAATATTACATCCGTATTGTTGTGCAAAGACCCTTGGATTCTTTTTCTGAAGACTACACTATCGCATGGTACGAAAGGTTAGTAGAATGGTCGCAGATAACGCGTGATATTTCGTGATAATGGTGTTGATAAAAGTGATATTACAGGGTAGAAAGGTTGTTTTCCTATAAATGATTTGAGACGCTATCGCAAGATGAGGGGGCATTGCCTATGAAAATATATTTGAGACAGTGCAAATATCCTTTTTGTTAAAAACCCGGGAAAAGTGGTCAAATCATTCATAGAAAACAAGCTTTCTACCCTGTAATATCACTTTTATCAACACCATTATCACGAAATATCACGAGTTATCTGCGACCACTCTACTAACCTTTCGTACCATGCGATAGTGTAGTCTTGCAAGATCGGGGCCATTGCAGACATGCATTTGAGAGCAGTG